ATATATATACGCATATTAATCTTATAACATAAGTCACATATATATACGTATATTAATCTAATAACATAAGTCACATATATATACGCATATTAATCTTATAACATAAGTCACATATATATACGTATATTAATCTAATAACATAAGTCACATATATATACGCATATTAATCTAATAACATAAGTTCATGAGTTAAGAGTTGTAACAGGTGTAACTTTATGTGATGCTCATAAACCTATTAAGCATTTTTTAAAATTTTTGGTTGCCCATAAGTTAAGGTATATGAAATACAAAAAAATATTTACAACGTTTTATGAAACAACAGTTTTGAATAATTAAATGTATTTTCCAATATAAATATGTATGATAATCATAAGCATTAGTACGTTCGAATGGTAGATTTTTTTTATCTACCGAAGAAGAAGATAATTAAACTTTTGTACTGCCAATTGCAGGAAGTCGAGTTCAATGTGCTGCAAGAGCTGTAAACCAAGATGGTGATCCAGGTTTAGAGTTGGAAAGTATACCAGTTACCATTTCCGCATCCGGTGGGCTGTGCTCACCTCGCATTGAAGGATCCACTGGTGCTGAACCATTTACTGCCAAGCTGAGGTATACAGGTAGGTTTAATAGTTTGATTATAAAAAGAATGAACTAAGCAACACTGTTTTAAAAATGTAAATTTTCTTAGCTTCAACAGAATTAATAAAATAATTTCGTTTTTCGTTTGTTCAGTAACTAAAAGATTATATGGCCAGGTGGCTAGGGCGCTCGACTCGCAATCTGCGGGTCGCGGGTTCGAATCCCCGTCACACCAAACATGCTCGCCCTTTCAGCCGTGGGGGCGTTATAATGTGACGGTCAATCCCACTATTCGTTGGTAAAAGAGTAGCCCAAGAGTTGGCGGTGGGTGGTGATGACTAGCTGCCTTCCCTCTAGATTTACACTGCTAAATTAGGGACGGCTAGCGCAGATAGCCCTCGTGTAGCTTTGCGCAAAATTCAAAACAAACAAACTAAAAGATTGTGGTAAGATATTCATATAGGAATGACTTGGAAACTCTCCAGTTTTACCATGTTTTTTTTTCTTATCAGGTCCAGATGATCAGGAGCACCCCAATCTAATAAAACTGACCGTAGTCATTCCTCATCGAGATGGGATGCTACCGGTCATTTCTACGCAACCCTTGACCAACTTCGAGCTGACCCTAAGTCCAGATAGTTTGAGGGTGGGCACTCACAAATGCTCTAATTTACTAAACTACCAGGAAGTCCGCACCAAATATGGGTTCTTGACTAACGACACAAAAGACGCTAACATTATCGGTGAAGTGGAACCTTACCAGTATAGTGCAGACCTGAGAACAGAACCCACACTCAGGTATGGTGTGCCAGTAGTTTAAATATACCACTAAGTGTATAAAAGTTACACCATGTTCTAAATGCTAGATAGATATTCAAGTCAGGTTGTCACTTGTAACTTGTGACATCTGCAGTTGACATCAGATTGTCATGAAAAAATAACAACATTTATTTAGAATTGACGAATTAAGCTAGTCCACATTGATTAACAGACTTCTTTATTTTAATGATTGAAATGAAATTCAATTTCTACATCTGTAACCAAAAACACACAACAAAACAACAACAACAACACAAAACACGTGAACTCTCTCTGATTCAAACTAACATAAACAAGAAATACCTGGATTTGTTGAAATAATACTCTAAACGACAATTTGGATGTTTTTTGTTATAGGTTCTACCGGAACTTAGACCTGGAATCTTGTATGTGGGAGTTTTCAGCTTTCTTTGATATGTCAGAACTGGTGACAGACTGTGGTGGTTCCATCAGCAGTGATGGACAGGCAAGTTATTCCTTTTATTATGATGAGGGTCAATGCTAATCTTTAATCGGTATTAAATACTCTGTAAACACGAAATCATGATGCACATTTTGTTGTTGTTTGTTACAGAGCAAAGCCACATTGGGCTATCTGCTTTGTCCACCGCGGGAAATCGAACCCCGGATTTTAGCATTGTAAGTCCCTTAAGTTTACCATTGATCCACAAGGGACCTTATAGAAGGAAAACAACTTTTAAGAAGTGAGCGTGAAATTTATGTTCATTATCATCAAGAGATAAAAAGATTGTAATAAGATAAGGATCTTGTTTTAGGGTCACAAGCACAGTCAAGTGTAAATTACACTACCCAAAAACAATGACAATCTGAATGTTATAATATTTTAACCATTGTTATAAAATAATGTCAATTGCCCCTCTCAGCTGGTTGTTTTACAAATCAGACATCATGTAATTAGGCATGTTTATGCTATAAATATATAGTGGTCTCACACATTCTTATCTCAATTATTACTTTGACGTGAACTGTAGTGTTTAAAGGGCTTAAATTGTTCACGGATCATTGCTAGGCCTCAAAGAAGAATTTCGAAGATTTTTTTCGTGTGGAGAGCCGTAATACAAATTAAAGCTGGCCAATTACAGTAGGCCTTTTATAAATTGGCTACAGTGTCTCAAAATGTGTTAATAGAATTAGGAACCACTTCAAGCTCGGAACTTGTACAAGTCAGATTATCATCAACAAGACAAGCATACTACCACTATCTCGTGACAATCGTATCTGCTCCGAGACTGAGTCAAATGTTTGTAGCTGCAACTGGATTCCAGGCAGTGAACTGGTAATTAGTAACTAACTTTACAGTGTTGTTCTTTATGCAGAACACACAGTTATTTTGTAGCTGCAACTGGATGTCAGTCAGTGTACTGGTAATTAGTAACTAACTTTACAGTGTTGTTCTTTATGCAGAACACAGTTATTTTGTAGCTGCAACTGGATGTCAGTCAGTGTACTGGTAATTAGTAACTAACTTTACAGTGTTGTTCTTTATGCAGAACACACAGTTATTTTTATTTATTTCACAGCAAGATAAGATACAACTTGCCTAGAATTATGCTGAGAACAAAACCACTGTAGAGCAAGATTCTTATAGATGAATTGTACTTCACTCTGCAGAAAAAAAAATAGGCATATGCTCGTTTGGAGACAATCTAGAACAAGATCTAACTACATTTTAATACAGGAACGCGATGCTTAGATATATTAATAAGAACTTCTGAGTGAAATTAAATAAGATTGTATTGTAAATTAGTAATATGTTAACCACACTACATATGGCATATCCACTACCGACTTTAGTGTTGACAGGGATAACCAATGATGAACATACCAACCTCTAAATCTTTCAAAATTACACCATTTATGCCACACGTTATAGAATAACATCCTACGACCATTTCTTGCTGTCATATTCTGGTGCAGTTGACATTGACTTCATCCTAATAGACGATTTCGCCCACTCTCACCATGCTAAACTGGTTACTTACTATTCTTGTGTGAAATAAAATATCCATGAATAAAAATGAAATTATTAGCTAGTTAGTAGTTTCGCTGGATAAAAATTGTGGTCAGAAAAGGAGATTTAGTAACTGCCTGATTGAACTATTACAGAGTAATATTTGTTTCAGTTTAAGCCTAATTGTTATAGGTGAATGAACATTACTTTGTTTCTGTAGTTGACAAGCTGTGATCACAAATTTGGTAATATACATTTCGGTATAATTAGATTTAGTAAATATTAGCTTCCATCTGTAGAACACAAAGTATAAAAATAACACGAAATTGGTTTCTCTTTCCAATACCTAATGAAAATGTTTTATAGTAGAATATATTGAAATGAGTAAAACCTATGAATTAGAACTCGTATCTTAAGGTTCTAAAACAAAGGAAGCACTTTAAACGAAGAATAGACGTGTGATAAAAACGTAAATAGAAGTTTATAGAAAATATTTTTAATTTTCAAAATCAGCAGACCTGTTAACAAGTTTACTCTTGGCCTAATTTTGGCACTTAAGAAGATTTTTACGATCAAACCGTTAAGAATCTAGTCGTAAAACTAAGACGAAAATTGAAATTTATTAAAAATGCCTAGATTGTACCGTTAATAACTAAAATTTGAAATGTATGCTGTGCTTTTGCAGGTTTTGAATCTCGTTCAGTCATTCGTATCTGTTCGGGTTCCGTTGTATGTATCTTATATATTTCACTCCCCTGTTGCAACTGGAGGTTGGCAACACAACGACTTAACGTCACACTTGCGTCTTACATTTGTCTACGATACCGCCATCTTGTGGAAGAACGGTATTGGAGCACCTGAAGAATCACAACTTCAAGGTATACACAGAAAAAAACAACAAAAAAACTGAACATTAGAGCTAAGATAATGATAATTATATTCTCTCGCTGAACATAAAAAACATATTTTTTATTTGTAAAGAACAAAAATCGGAAGTTATATACTTTAGATAAATGTAAAAAATAATAACAACTAATTAAACAATATTGAATTTTCCTCAGGTAATCTCTACCCTACTGGCATGAGGATTCGTGACGATGGAAGGCTGGCTGTGAACTTTAAGACGGAACCTCGGTTCAAAGGCCAATTTGTACTCAGTCATCCAGGTAAATGGAAATTTCTCTTTATATTCAGTAAATAAAATACAGACGACGTTTCGGAATCCAACTTCTTCCCAGTCATGTAAGAGAGAATGAACCTCAGCTCATGAACAAACTTGTGCTCATTAATTTATTAAAATCTTCGGTTCGAAGGATTGTTTGTATTTTTGTCATTCCTGTAAGATATTTGGTTCAAAGCACTGTTTGTGTTCAACCATCTTTGTAAAATCTGCGACTTGAAAGATTGTTTGTATTCGCTTATCCTCGCTTCCGCTTGAAATACTCTTATAATCAATCAGTCATACCAGTGAGACCTTAGGTTCAAAAGACTGTTTATACTCTGTCATACCTGTAAGATCGTAGACTTAAAACACTCTTACACTCAGTCATACCAGTAAGATCTTCGGTTCAAAGGATAGTTTTTATTCATTCATCTCAGTGAAATCTGTGGTTTAAAAGATTGTTTGTACTCGCTCATGCCAGTGAAATCTGTGGTTTAAAAGATTGTTTGTACTCGCTCATGCCAGTGAAATCTGTAGTTTAAAAGATTGTTTGTACTCGCTCATGCAAGTGAAATCTGTGGTTTAAAGGATAGTTTTTACTCATTCATCCCAGTGAAATCTGTGGTTTAAAAGATTGTTTGTACTCATTCATCCCTGTGAAACCTTCGGTTCAAAGGATAGTTTTCACTCATTCATGCCAGTGAAATCTGTGGTTCAAAGGATAGTTTTTACTCATTCATGCCAGTGAAATCTGTGGTTCAAAGGATAGTTTTTACTCATTCATCCCAGTGAAATCTGTGGTTTAAAAGATTGTTTGTACTCGCTCATGCCAGTGAAATCTGTAGTTTAAAAGATTGTTTGTACTCGCTCATGCCAGTGAAATCTTCGGTTCAAAGAACTGTTTATGCTCGTCCAATTTATTGAAATCTTAGTTCAAATGACTGCTTGTACTTATTAATCTCAGTAAAGGATTGTTTATATTAAGTCATATAAATAACTACACTGAGTGGGCACAAGTAAATAGACACCTAATTTTTCGTCATTTAACTGATGTATGCTAACTAATTTGTGTTAACGGAGCACTATATAAATGAAAATGGTCCGCACACTAATT